AAAAAAGAAAAAGATGACGATGATGAAGATGAGGATGAGGATGACGATGAAGCTGAAGAAAAAGGAGAAGAGAATCACAGGATGAGGATTCGAGTCCCACGACCCGCGACTCCGAAGCACCTTCCGAAGCAGGCCCCGAAAACAGCGCCGGAACGAAACCAATCCCCAGGAGGCGACGGCTGAACAAAGCGGCGCGAGATATGACTGCCTGACTGTTTCTTCTGCGGGGATTTTTTTTTTTTTCTTCTTTTTTTTTTTTTGAGGAGGGGGGGAGGGGGGCAGGGGTGTAGGGTGGTTATTTCCAATTTGCGGTGTTTGTACTCTGCTGTTGGATTAACTTTTTTTGTTTTTGTTTTGTTTTTTTTTTGTGTGTGTTTTGTCTCGTTCTTGTATTATTCATCTGTTTATGTATCTATATCTCTCTCTTTCCCTCTCTCTCTCTCATCATATCATTATTATAATCAATATTATTAGTTATTATTATTATTATTATTATTATTATTATTATTATTATTATTATTATTATGATTATTATGATTATCATTAATATTATCATTATTATTATTATTATTATTATTATTATCATTATTATTATTATTATTATTATCATAATCATCATCATCATCATCATTAGTAGGAGTAGTAGTGCCAGTGTCATTATCGTCATCATTATCATTATCATCATCATTATTATCATCATTATGATTATTATTGTCATTAGCCGTAGTAGTAGTACTATTATTACAATTATCATTATCATTATTATTATTATTATTATCATTATTATTATTATTATTATTGTTATTATTTGTGTTGTTGTCATTATTACTATTATTTCCATTATCCTTAATATTATTACCATTATTTTTACAACCGGGTCCTGTCAAATTTCCACGAAACAAAAAAAAAACAACAAAAAAAAGGTAAATGGAACTCTTCTCTCCCTCTTTCACCCTCTTCCTTCTACCTATCGGCTTCCATCTCCCTTTTCTTTTACCTTTCCCTTTCCCTTTCACCCCCTCTCACTCCCTTCCTCTTCCTTCTTAAACCTCCCTTTCCTCCTTCTTCCTTCCTTTATCCCTTCCTTGCCTCTCCCACCCCCCCCCCCCTTTTTATCTCCAGAGCCTCCTCTCCTTTTCCCCTCTCTTTCCCTTTCTCTGTCCCTTTTTCCTCTTTGTGTTCCCTCCTTTTCCCCTTTGTCTCCTCTTCCCCATCTCCCTTTCTCCTCTCCTTCTCCTTCTTCCTTTCTTCTTCCCCTCCTACCTTTCTTCTTAACCTCCCCCCCTCAGATAATTGTATATATAATGAATGTGTATAAATTGACTTCCTTTAAATAATAATAATAATAATAATAATAATAATAATAATAATAATAATAATAATAATAATAATAATAATAATAATAGCAAATTTAAATGATCCTCATGCACAGGCGCGTCTTCCAGTGCCATCCAATATTACTCTCAGCATCCCAATCTCACTCTCAGCATCCCAATCTTACTCTCAGCATCCCAATCTTACTCTCAGCATCCCAATCTCACTCTCAGCATCCCAATCTTACTCTCAGCATCCCAATCTTACTCTCAGCATCCCAATCTTACTCTCAGCATCCCAATCTTACTCTCAGCATCCCAATCTCACTCTCAGCATCCCAATCTCACTCTCAGCATCCCAATCTTACTCTCAGCATCCCAATCTTACTCTCAGCATCCCAATCTTACTCTCAGCATCCCAATCTTACTCTCAGCATCCCAATCTTACTCTCAGCATCCCAATCTCACTCTCAGCATCCCAATCTTACCCTCAGCATCCCAATCTTACTCTCAGCATCCCAATCTTACCCTCAGCATCCCAATCTCACTCTCAGCATCCCAATCTTACTCTCAGCATCCCAATCTCACTCTCAGCATCCCAATCTTACCCTCAGCATCCCAATCTTACTCTCAGCATCCCAATCTTACTCTCAGCATCCCAATCTTACTCTCAGCATCCCAATCTTACTCTCAGCATCCCAATCTTACTCTCAGCATCCCAATCTTACTCTCAGCATCCCAATCTTACCCTCAGCATCCCAATCTTACCCTCAGCATCCAATATTACTCAGCGCCATGCAGCGATGCCATGCAAGATCTCGGATTGATGGCTCGAGTCCTGTAATCCCCTGGGACGTGGGAAATTCATTCTCTAATGGAGACGATAGTGAAGTGACGATGGTGACGATGGTGATGGCGGGGACGATGATGGAGTGATGATGATGGAGTGACATTTACATCCCCGTTTTTATTTTATTTTCGGATACCTGCCATGGGTTTATTTCCAGACCTTGGGGATGCCTTGTTAATTAGTCTTAAATTCTAAATGCAATTTTAATTTCCCTGAAATCATACAGTCATTACGCTCCCTTAATTCTGAAAATCGTGCTTCTCTCCTCTTCTCCGAGACTTTTTTTATGATTATTATTTCCGCGCACACACACACACACACACACACACACACACAC